CATTCGTCTCTCCATCGCCACTCTGCTGGCTACTCATCATGCTGCCACTGCTCATCGCACCTTCCACTGGCTTGTGGTGGATTTGATTCTGGGCCAAACCAAGTGATTTCAACTCTTGGCCCAAAGCACAGTCCAGCCACAAGAAATTCCAGCATCCCCCGTAGTAAATGTAAATAATAAAAGAGACTCCTTATGGAGCCTTTCTTTAGCTCTATCATTGAAACAGGGGGGAGAAACAGGTTGAATCAGTCTTACAGCTCACACCTAGGGGACATGTTTTCTGTTGATTCAGAGTCCTGCCCTCCCCGGTTAAATTTTACAGGGTTCTGGAAGGGGAGCTTCTGTCCATCCAAGTTTATTTACACCGAGCATAGACTTTCTTCCTTTGTATTTCCATAATAATTACAGACATTGCAATGAGTGTTGCAATTAGCCAGGTTGAATACAATGAGCAAAACACTATTCTAACAGCTGAATATCTAAGGGTATGTCTACACTACAGCGCTAATTCGAACTAACACATCCAGACTAAAAAACTAGTTCGAATTAGCGTTTTGCTAATTCGAACTAGCATGTCCACATTAAGTGGACCCTGAACTGGGGTTAAGGATGGCCGGAAGCAGTGCTTTCCCTATGTGGGAGATGTAGGGAAGGGGAGTTGCATGTTAACACTAAGCCCTTCTCTATTCCTGAACACAGACTGTCCCCTTCATCTTCCGTTGATTTTTTATGGGCTGGAAGTCTCCTCCTTTCAAGAGCACCACAAATACATCCTCCAATAGTGGGTCTGCTGCAATATAATTGATTGGATCTTGGTAAAAAATTCTCCAAAGGGAAAGACTCCAGCTCACTTTTACCATACATACCTGGGTTGTCCCTGAAGATGTAAAAAGTGGGGACAATGGTTTTCATCAATAAAGCTAGCAGATGTGGCTGACACACAAACAGGGAACAAATCTGAGGGGTGCAGATGTGCATTTTCACAATCATTTTTCAGGGCATGTGATCACTTTGTCACTCTTACTGCAAACAATTCTTAGAAAACAATTATTTAGTGTGGGGACTGTCAAAGAAGGATAAATGTTGGGTTTTTTTTGTTTTGTTTTTTTTTGTATTATGGCAACATTTAGAGTTCCCAGCCAAGATCATGGCCCCATCCTGCTACATGTTGTTCAGTTAGTAAATAGATAAGACAGACAAAGAAAGTGCTGTTATCCCCGATTTATGGGGGTGGGGGGACAGGATAGAGGTCTCTAAAAGCATGAGTGGGGTGGAGAGGGTGCATCAAGAAAAGTTCTTCATTAGTTCCCATAAAGAAGGACTAGAGGACACCAAAGGAAAGGAATGGGTAGCAGGCTTCAAACTAGTAACAGAAAGTTGTTCTTCACAAAGCAAAGAGTCAACCTGTGGAACTCCTTGCTGAAGGAGTCTGTGAAGGCTAGAACTAGAACAGAGTTTAAAGAGAAGTGAGATAAAGTCATGGAGGTTGGGTCCATGGAGTGGTTCAGCTGTTAGAGGGCTAGCCTCCCACTAGTTCGAATTAAGGGGCTACACACCCCTTAATTCGAACTAGTAAGTTCGAACTAGGCTTAGTCCTCATAGAATGAGGTTTACCTAGTTCGAACTAAGCGCTCCGCTAGCTCGAATTAAGTTCGAACTAGCGGAGCGCTAGTGTAGCGCCTATCAAAGTTAATTTGAACTAACATCCGTTATTTCGAATTAACTTTGTAGTGTAGACATACCCTAACACATCTAAGCAAAGCAGGGGCAAACTGTATTTACATAGACACACTCAGATTCTCTCTCCATTCCAGCTAGCTGCAATGGAAGCATTCATTCAGACCCTGCTTACATCCGTAAGCCACAAGAAATTGCAAGTATCCACGGGGCGTAGGCAGGGGAATTCATTGTCCTAAGGCCTTTCTCTGCTCTCAGCATGATTGCATTGGGGAGAGCAAACCCCAGAGAGGTGGGCTTATAATCATTACTACCCACCCATATTTTATAGACTGTGTCCATGCTAGAGGATCTCATGCTGTTGAGGGTGACCAGGGAAGCAAGAGAGGGTTTTCTGCAAGACTGTGGCTTCTGCCCTGGTCCTTATGCAGCTCGCCTGTGTGCAGCAATGCCCCACCCCAACAGCATAGTGGTGTGGGAATGTTACCCTTAATGAGGCAAGGAAAAAAACAGCACTGCAGATTTCCCAGCATTTTCATGAGAATTTTGTGAAGATCTGAGGCTGATTACCTTGAAATGAGAGAGTGCATCAACAGCCTGTTCTGACTTGAACTAGGCATGTGTCAGTACAAGCACCACACAGACCCAAGCTTGCTTTCTGCAACCATCCTGCCTCCAACAACTCACTTCAGCAATTCCCTAAATCAGAGCCACTTACCAGGGGCATCCTCCACTGTTTGCGCTTCCCAAATTTCTGACTGCTGGCCTCCAAAGTAGAAAAGAGCTCCTGACCACACGCATCTGTGGATGCTGAGTCTTCCTCTGGCTCTCGGTGCCCCTTCCCCCTCAGCACCCTCCTCCATGATGTTCTCCTCTTGGCTCAGCCCATTCTCAGGAGACAACTGAGTGTCCTCCTGGATATTCACAATGGAAGTGGGGTCACCCCCAAGTATTGCATCCAGCTTTTTGTAGAACTGGCAGGTTATGGGCCCAGCTCTACGATGGGAATTTGCTTCCTGCATCACATGGGAGGCATTCCACGGCTCCTTCACTTTGACCCTGCACTGCAATGTGTCCCTATAATGGTCCCTTTGAGTCCTGCTTCTTCTTCTCCCCGGAGACTGATGAGGTCCAGCCCCACAGCACCTCTGCATTGCTCCAAGTAAGGCATGTCACCTGGAAAGATGCACTGAGAGCACTCCATGCATCACAGAGCAAAGATAAAGGGAACTTCCCAAATTCCCAGAGACTGTAAAGGGGTTTGCAGGGTTGGTCACCTGGGAGCAGGCCAGCAGAGCTCAAACCGATGGCCAGAGAGGCAAGAATAGGCATTGTGGGACAGGTACCATAGGACAGTCACAAGGGCATCCACACTGGGACCCCAGCTGTAGTCACTGCACAGAAAGCTGTACACCTCTTGTCAAGGTGTTTTTTGGAGAGCACAGGAACTGAAGATTTTGTACACACCAAGTATTTTGGCAGTGCAGACACCTTGGGCATTACAGTGCTGAGAGCCGATTTATTTACTTGTAACTTGCCAGTGAAGACAAAGCCTCAGACTGTGAATTTATTTTATTTCTTAAATAATCAACTTTGATCTCTATTCTTGCTACTTATAAGCATTTAAGATCTTTCTATAGTTAACATATATGGCTTACATCTTACCTAACACTGTGTTTTGGTTGAAGTGCCCTGGAAATCTCAGCTCAGTTTACAAAGGCTAGTGCATGCCCTCTCCACACTGAGGCAGGGTGGACTGGGTAATGATCTTACACTGGCTAGGCGCCTGACCAGAACAGGACAGGGGTGCAAGGCTGGGGAGCTTTGGGGAATTAGCTGGGGAATCCCTATCAATGGTATATGTGTGGCTAGGAGAAGTATCCATGTAACTCTGTTAGGTGTGTCCCTATCTGTGGATGGCTGTATAGGTGCAGGACCTGCCAGAGATTTGTATCCTCAAGGTGTGAGGATACCCCAGGTTGCAGAGAGAGGCTGCACCCCAGGAGCCCCATCAGAGAGAGGAAATGTTGAGAGTGTTGCAAAGGGAAATGGCCAGAAATAATATAAGGATTTTAAAACAGGAATGGTACAGTATTGCCACAACCCACAGGTTCGAACTCCAGAGTGCAGCTGCAAGAGATACTATGAGATTGGCTCTAAAATTGGGCTTTTTTTAAGTAATATATTTTCAGAGGGAAAAATGAGTTCTCACACCCAGCTGGATGGCATTGCTTTGTGCCGTACAGGGATCTCTCAGTTGGTCTGGGTAATGATCTTACACTGGCTAGCCTCCTGACCAGAATAGGACAGGGGTGCAAGGCTGGGGAGCTTTAGGGAATTAGCTGGGGAATCCCTATCAATGGTATATGTGTGGCTAGGAGAAGTATCCATGTAACTCTGTTGGGTGTGTCCCTATCTGTGGATGGCTGTATAGGTGCAGGACCTGCCAGAGATTTGTATCCTCAAGGTGTGAGGATACCCCAGGTTGCAGAGAGAGGCTGCACCCCAGGAGCCCCATCAGAGAGAGGAAATGTTGAGAGTGTTGCAAAGGGAAGTGGCCAGAAATAATATAAGGATTTTAAAACAGGAATGGTACAGTATTGCCACAACCCACAGGTTCGAACTCCAGAGTGCAGCTGCAAGAGATACTATGAGATTGGCTCTAAAATTGGGCTTTTTTTAAGTAATATATTTTCAGAGGGAAGAATGAGTTCTCACACCCAGCTGGATGGCATTGCTTTGTGCCGTACAGGGATCTCTCAGTTGGTGCTGAGATCCAGCCACCACTGGATGCAACATGACCACAGTTAACACATGGTGTGGCTGGGTCTCCCTGGCAGTGGGGTGGCCTAGTGGTTAGGACCCCAATTTAGCAGGAGGGAAAGGGGAACAGCTCCCTTGCTGCTTTTGTCCCAGGCCTGGGAATTCTGGCCTTTTATCTGGGCATAGTTCTTAAGTTTGGGGCATGGCCCCAACTGTCCACATTTCCCCCTCCTTCCTGAGGGTTCCTTGTAAATTCCCCCTCTGCCCCAGGGGATAGGGTTGGAGGCTTACATGCTCTGGTGACTGGTCAAATAGGACAGGTTCTGGCTCAGGTCCTGCAGACAGCAGAACCATCTCCTGTAGCCTTACTGGTCAACCCCTAACTGAGACAGGCTCCCTTCTTTTATCCTCCCTCCAGGTCTGTCATTGGCTGCCGGTAAACAGGGCGTTGCAATTGCGGTATGCCTACATTACCCTCCTATTTCGAAATAGGAGGGTAGTGTAGACATACCCAAGGGGATTGTTTGTCCAGAGCGGAGATGCAGTTTATCCACCCAAACCTGAGATGAAGCCGTCACTGGGTGGAGGCTGTTTATACAGGTATCCCTTATCTAGCACTGGCATGCAGCTGCTTCTGGAGTGGAGCATTACAAGCATTAGACAACAATACTACTGAGATAACCGAGTGAGTTCTATATCCATTTGAAATTTAGAGAGTGAAATTAGCCCCGTGGGAATTTAGAACATAAGAACAGCCATACTGGGTCAGACCAAAGGTCCATCTAGCCCAGTATCCTGTCTACTGACAGTGGCCAGCCCCAGGTGCCCCAGAGAGGGTGGCCTGAAGACAATGATCAAGCAATTAATCTCCTGCCATCTCTCTCCAGCCGCTGACAAACAGAGGCCAAGGACACCATTTTATCCCTGGCTAATAGGCTTTTATGGACCTAACCTCCATGAAATTATCTAGCTTCTCTTTAAACTCTGTTATAGTTCTAGCCTTCACAGCCTCCTCTGGCAAGGAGTTCCACAAGTTGACTACACGCTGTGTGAAGAAGAACTTTCTTTTATTAGTTTTAAACCTGCTCCCCATTAATTTCATTTGGTGTCCTCTAGTTCTTCTATTTAGGGAACTAATAAATAACTTTTCTTTATCGGCCCTCTCCACTTCTTAAAAATACCTTTTTGTCCCTCACTGCTTCTTTTACATGGTGGTTAAGCCACGGTGACTCTTTTTTAGGTCTCTTGCTATGTTTTTTAATTTGACCAGGACACCAGAGTTAAAACCCTGGAGCTTCTTTTTCTAAAGTGCCTGATTATGAACTTGGTTTTTACATCTTGTCAGACAGGGAACACCTCACTCAGAGCCTCCATTGTTGAATCAGCGCAGTTCCCCAGAAGACCAGCCTTGAAAACACTCAGCCAGCCCAGCCCTGCTTAACTCGGGAGAGAAGAGAGGAAATCACAGCACAAGGCAATCAAGTCACCAGCCACATTAGTGACCGTTTCCCTCCCAGACAGACGCAGGGGTCTCAAGATGGGTTTATTGGAATACAAGTGGTTATCCTCTATGGGGCAGCTTTTGTTCTCAAAATCTCACTTAGCTTTCATATTGCACTGAAACCAATCTGATGAAAAGGATGAGAGGTGGGTTAATTGCCCCAAGCCAGCACTGGCACAAACCCCACTCCCTCCATCTGCCATTACTCCTTCCGATGCTTGCGTCTCTGAGCCATGGATCTGAGCACAGCAGCCGCCACTCCCATCACCCCCACAGTGCCCATGGCAATGGCTTCCGTGACCTGCAGAAGAGAACAAAGTGCCCGTCAGATGTGTGTGGGGGGTCTCCCACGTGGGGTCATTTACAGGCTCAGGACACACAAGGGCTGCGTCTAGACTGGCAAGATTTTCCGCAAAAGCACTGACGATCTACTGTCCGAAATCAGTGCTTCTTGTGCAAATGCTTTGACGTTCCCGTTCGGGCAAAAGCCCTTTTCCAGAAATGTTTTTGCGCAAAAGGGCCAGTGTAGACAGCTGAAAACTGTTTTGCTCAAAAAAGCCCTGATGGCGAAAATGGCAATCGGGGCTTTCTTGCACAAAACTGCATCTAGATTGGCACGGATGCTTTTCCGCAAAAAGTGCTTTTGCAGAAAAGCGTCTGTGCCAATCTAGACTTTCTTTTCTGCAAATGCTTTTAACAGAAAAACGTTTCCGTTAAAAGCATTTGCGGAAAATCATGCCAGTCTAGACGTAGCCAAGGTGTAGAGGAAGACAGGAGCTGAAATGTCCAGCCAGCCCATCAGACATCAAGCTACTCTTGCTGCAGAAGCCTAATCCAGGGAAGACTCATACCATAGAGTAGGTCAAGATTTCCTGGCCTAGGGGCATGAATCCCACCCCACCCCATGGTGCCTCTTACAGTCTCCTTCTTTCGATGCTGTGCTGCAATACAGAAAGCAAAGGAGCAGCAGCAACCAGCTGGGACTGTGAAGAGGAGCCCAGGCAGGGGAGCAGAGGCAGCCACTGAAATGCTGAGGGATGGAATAGATTTGGAGAAGGGACTGCTGGGTTCATTTTGCAGGGAGAAGGATGCTGGGTTTGACTGGGTTTGTGCAGCACCTATTGCAGCAGGGTGCTGGACTGAGGCTGAAATGCCAAATAATAATAAACACTGTGAA